TTTTTTTTTTTTTTAAAAAAAAAAAAAAGGAAGTAAATGTAGGGATGGCTAATATCAATCCTTCAAAAATAACGCAAACAAGATAGTAGGGATAGTATTTGCATCATCCCTACATAATAGCACAGGCACACAGTGTAGTAGAATGTTAACAGACAAAAATATGATAAATTAAACTATCGTGAATGAATAGTTATATATATATTGCCTTGTGTTAATTCTTGTCTGTGTTATTACGCATGGATGATGCAAAAGCCATCCCTACTATCTTTTTTGCATTGTTTTTGAATGATTGATATTAGCAATCCTTACATTTATTTTCTTTTTCTTTTTTTTGAAAAACAAAAAACAAACTCGCCTACATTGTTCAGATTAACTTGTTTTCAATAATATATTATTCTAATATCATTGTATCTCACTGTCTAAATCTTCCAAATTACACAAATTCCCAACAGGGAAGTAATGTGTTTAGCCTAAGACAATAACATAATTTGATACAAAGAATGAAACAGTAAGTTTATTAACCAACAAGTTAAGTAGTGAACCTATTTAAGCCCATTCTTCGACACTTATTAGCGACTTCGACTTAACTGGTTTAGTTCTTGTTAAACAAACAAGTGTAAAATCGGTTTATCTGTACTCTGTCCACAGAGGGTATCAAAACCCATTGAACTACTGGGCGTCCTATTAAAGGGACTTACACTTCAGTACAGTTAATAAACTAAACACAAAATAACAAGAATCCGAATTAAAAATAAACACGACTATGACAAACAACTGTTATTTAAGAAGTAAGCCCCTGGTAGTTCAGCGGTGAATCTGAGGCGTTATAACGCAAAAACTCGGGTTTCGATACTCGCGGTGGGCACCGCACAAATAGCCCATTGTGCAGGTTTGTGGTTAGCAATAAACAAACCAAGAAATTAACATAAGCTTTTGTAGAGACACAGGAGACAACGTGCGAAAACTACCCGAACAGATTAACTAAAAAGGAATCTATTATTCTAATTCATTTATTCTTGTAGTTTCAAACCTTCCACATTTCGTCATCAGATCTAGAAAACAAACGAAAATGATAAGTGCATACTTTAGTTCTAAACAAAGAGGGAAAGAATATATCTAGTCATTCTGCGTCACGAAAACACAAGTTTGTCCTTAAGCAACCCTGAACATTGTCACAAGGACAACAAGTGAGCAAAGTTCGGGACTTAGCTTAGAAGTAAATCATATGATCACTACGTATGTTTGTTTTGAATTTCGCGCAAAGCTACACGAGGGCTATCTGCGCTAGCCGTCCCTAATTTAGCAGTGTAAGACTAGAGGGAAGGCAGCTAGTCATTACCACCCACCGTCAACTCTTGGGCTACTCTTTTACCAACGAATAGTGGGATTGACCGTCACATTATAACGCCCCCACGGCTGAAAGGGCGAGCAAGTTTGGAGGGATGGGGATGCGAACCCGCGACCCGCATATTGCGAGTCGAGCATCCTAACCACCTGGCCATACCGGGCCCACTACGTATGTGTTTTTCGTATATCAAAGCCACACCGGGCTATCTTATGTGTCCACCGAGGGGAATCGAACCCCTGCTTTTAGCGTTGTAAATCCGAAGACTTACCGCACTCCCACCGGGGGACACGGTCCCCACACTTATCATAGAATAGGGAAAGTCTGAGGGGTCTTCAGAGCCTCCTCAACTATACTTCGGATCTAGAGATAAAGAGAATATAGGGAAACGAATTATTTCCGTATGCAAGAGGAAGCAGTGACGACTTCAGTGCACTCCCACCGGGGGACACGGTCCCCACACTTATCATAGAATAGGGAAAGTCTGAGGGGTCTTCAGAGCCTCCTCAACTATACTTCGGATCTAGAGATAAAGAGAATATAAGGAAATGAATTATTTCCGTATGCAAGAGGAAGCAGTGAAGACTTACCGCACTCCCACCGGGGGACACGGTCCCCACACTTATCATAGAATAGGGAAAGTCTGAGGGGTCTTCAGAGCCTCCTCAACTATACTTCGGATCTAGAGATAAAGAGTACATAGGGAAACGAATTACTTCCGTATGCAAGAGGAAGCAGTGAAGACTTTAGTGCACTCAAATTTATACCTATCATCCGCAACACTGGGTGATCGAAAACTTCTCAAGACCTGGATGATGTTGACTCTAATTTATCACTTCACAATTAGGGACAGATAGCGTAGATAGCTCTCGAGTGACTTTGCGCGAAATTCAACAAAAACAACAACAACAAAAATATCTAAATCTTTTCTCCGTGGATAACATTTGACTAGGAGTACTTAAGTTTTTGATCCGAAGCCTCTTTAAATATGTGTGCTGTGTACTGTTCACAGACACTTGTACATCAACCTACAACTTGTAGACCACTGTGTTTATTTAGAGCATCGACATTTTAAACAAACCCAATAATAACACCTTGGAAGGGTGGGAGATGAGTATACCACAGAAAAAACAAAAACAACAACAAACTGCGTCATCAGTTCTTAGAAGTATTACAACAACTTTTATCATTAGTTACTTTGTATGTTGATGACCTTTTGTACATGTTTACATAAAAAAAAAGAATCACAGTTAAAGATTATTTGGCTAAAACGTCGAACAGAAGCTGCCAGGGTGTCAGTAGCGAGCTTGAGGGCTTATAATACTAATAATCGGAGTTTGATACCCGTGGTATGCACAGTACAGAGAGTCCAACATGAGCTGTGTGCTTAAAAAGAAATAACTATACCAGCGAACAGAATATCTCTTTACGTTAGCTATTTTAGCTTAACAATTAATTTGCATTCATTGATCTTATTTTGCTGTAGCTGCATTTGTTTATTTGAGTTTTATGGACTTTTATGTTGTTGTATGAATGTAATTTTTATCATGATCTTTATCGACTAGTGGCTTAGCAGTATGCCTGCGGACTTATAACGCTAAAAAATCAGATTTCGATACCCGTGGTGGGTACAACATGGGGCTGGATCACTAAAGATACATTTTATCGAAACATCTTATTCTCAAATTTTTAGTCGTAAAATTGCTCATAGATGGGTGAATTAAAGTGGTTCTTTAAACTAAGGATATAATTTTTAATACCCCACCCCCCAGAGAAGGGCGTTATAGTTGTTATGTTTTTCAGAAAACACGATGATGATGATGAACTATGTGAAAATAAACACAAAGACATAGCGCACGTGATAACCACGCGTACTTGGCCTTCAAAAACAGAAAGTCTGTATAGTGCAGTATTGTCAACAAGTTTTAGATACACTGAACCTGGAGATAACAGCAGATTCGCCCAAGAATAAGGGGAGAGGAGTTCTGTGTTAGATAACTGGACTAAGTTTTTTCACATGTATAATAAAAATTCTGGACAAAAGTGAGCAAAATCTTTATCGTCTAAATCAAGCAGGAAACTTAGTGGGCGTACTTACGTAGAAGTTGGGAGGATCATTTCTACTAGAGGATGTTTACCATGTAAACTCGCTTTCTTTATTCGGTGGATGACGTCATCTCGTGAATTTTGTTCTCTGGCAGTATTGGTTGGCTTTAACTTTCAGTCAACCTCATAATCAGCCAGAGAAGGATATTCCAGTGCCAATCCATTTAACCAAGATGCACCATATAATACTGAAATATCTTCATGGGCATAAAAGACATCACCCACCCCCAAAAAAGCATGTGACTAGAACAAGGTAAAGCTAATGACTTTCTGGGCCATGTGTTGCCACCATGACAGCATGGAAACTAAATAAAAAATTAACTCCTATATTGCTAAAAGATAGGTAGAAAACCCATATGTCACAACATATCACAATAGTAGCAGAGATTCTAATGAGCACCTATGATAAAACACAAAAATCAGTATTGTTTTGAAACATTTAATAATATGATTATGTTACAAAAGACAATAATTTTTAAAGAGGTTCAGCATGTGGTAGTACCTGAATAATAATAAAAATATTAGCATAAACATAACTCAGGTGACTAACATTTAAATGAAAAATCTGTGCTTTAATTTCTTAAAATTATTTGCCATATGACTATATACACTTAGAATTCTTTGTCCTATGACCATACACACTTAAAATTCTTTGTCCTATGATTATATACACTTAAGATTCTTTGCCCTATGACTATATACACTTAAATATTATTTGCCCTATGACTATATACACTTAAACATTATTTGCCCAATGACTATTTACACCTAAAATTATTTGCCCTATGACTATATACACTTAAAAATTCTTTGCCCTCTTACTATTTACACTTAAGATTCTGTGCCCCTGTTTGACAAATGTTTTATGAAATGTTAGCCCATTTATTTGATTTAAGACAAATGTTTTGTTGAAATGATCTAATGGTTCAAATATATTGTCATTAGGTTATCGTAATTTTGTAATGTTACACTGGGATGTGGGAAATGATTAAATCAACAGCAGTATTTGGAGTCAACAGCTTGCATTTTTGTGTTCCCTAAGTAAGGTGCACTCTTTATTTGATTTTGATGTATTTCTGTACTCATTGGAGTGATTGTGACAAACAGCACTGATGAGCTGTAAGTTCAGTGAAACTAGTCTGTTGCAGAGTAAGTAGTGAATTAAAGAAGAGGTTAAACCACTAGATTCTAGACTCCCCCCCCCACACACACACTAAACTTCTCGTTAGAAGAAGAAAAATAAAGTTTGTTTGTTTGGAATTAAGCACAAAGCTACACAATGGGCTATCTGTGCTCTGCCCGCCACGGGTATCGAAACCCGGTTTCTAGCGTTGTAAGTCCACAGACATACCGCTGTGCTACTGGGGGAAAAAAGAAAGTAACAAATAAATAAAGTATACTGTATTATTTCTTTATTGTCATTTTCATTATTTAGAATGTTAAACATATCTAACTTTATTATTTTTTATTTGTATTTTTTTATTATAGATATTATTTTGCATTATAAGTATTTAAGACTAAAGTTTACCGAATCTCGTTGGATATTATTGGGATTGTATGTAGCTTGCTCTTATTGGAATTTAATCATGAATTTTTTCTAACCCGTGTACTATATTTATTTTCAAATACAATATACTATAAAAATATCACTTAAATGATAAAACATATAACTTATAATAAGACTCACAACAACTCTGACCGATCATGGGTGGTCAATCATAATGAGAAATACTAAAATCAGGGGTGCCTGGCATGGTCTGGTTAGGGTACTCGCCTCGCAATTTGCGACTCACGGGTTCGAATCCCGTCACCAAACATGCTTGCTCTTTCATTAGTGGGGGCGTTATGTGATGTTGACAATTTGCATTCAATTTAGCCTATCATTTCTAAATTTGAACAGGCTAGTGCAGATAGCCTTTGAGTAGCTTCGTGCGAAATTCAACAAACAAATAGACAAATGAAATCAAGGCAACGAGTTTTATAGCCTTCGGATACGCATGCACAGAAGCTGTGGTGATGGTGGACAAGTTCAATTTACAGTGTATGAAGGGTGGAAATTAGTTTGAAAGAAAAAGTGAGTAGGTGCGTCGTGACCTTGATTGTAAGTAGCAGGCAGGAAACAACTGGACCGATATAAAACGGTACTATTCCGATGAAATCGGATATTTTATTTATAATCAATATTCGTTAGAAATTACGTCAGTTTGCTACATAGTTGTATAGCCGTATTTGTTATTTATTATATAACTGTATTTTATCTCCAGTTTACCCCAAACGATGAAAGGTCTATTTTCGAAAGCGCTCAGGTTATAGGGTTTCGTACTTTTTTTTTTGGAAGTATGTCATTTTAACATAACATGTAAGTAAACTTTCCAAAATTCTAAGACAGAAGCATCAAACTTAAATTAAACTCAGGAAGTGTGCTTTTATTCTTTTGAATTTTTAACTTTTGTAAAGTTTAAGTTCTACAAAACATAGTAAATGTAATAATTATTAGACAAAAACGATTTTATAAAACCTTTTCTATAAGTATATATAAAACACAAATATTAAACATCAGATATGGCTGGTTAATTTCCACTATGGAAAATGTCTAACTGGCGAAACATGCGCCTAAAATTCATATGGTGTGATCATCACTGTGATGACATAATAAATATTCAGTTATAGATGGCGCTGTTAGTGGAGGAAAGTGTTGTGCAACTGTCGGTAGTATTCAAGCAGAAGAATAAATTTCAGCGTCATGCCATATCCGTGTCTTTTGAATTTGGTCCGATTAGTAGGAGGAACTATGGTTAAACATATAGTTTCCCCTATGCAGTTAACTGGTCGAGGTGCGATTCATGTACCAGCGAGAGTGTGTTCGGCATACGAGGTAGAGTACGCTGTTTTACGCACGTGGTCTTTTGAATAACAATGCTTGTAAATTGTAACGCTATGTGGTATTGCCACATGTATTCTGTATTGTAATATTAGCCGTTACATTACCAGCAGAATAAAAAACTTCACGGTGTAAATCTTCAGTTCTTGATAACATATGATCAACCTGTCAGTTTTGAAATAAGAATGTACTTCTAATAATATGTTGTTTGATGTCATCGCTTTTTTTTTTTTTAATGATAAACTGAAGCTATTGCGAATAGTTTAGTTTATTACTATGTAATAAATAAAATTTAGGTCTTGAGAACCAACTGTCTGTGGTTGTTTATCTTACGATGTTATACTTATAGGTTGTGAAATAGATATTGTAAACACACTTGTAAGTTGTAGGGATGTCTTAATAGGTTCTTATAGTTATATCTATATTTAAAATTTCTTGAGTTAAACAGACTGGTATTATTATTAACATGATTTAAAGTAATCTTCTAATGTGAAACTTGTTTCCATTTTGGTTGGTATACTACTTTTGTACTCCAAAGCTATAACATCTTTTTACTGGAAATTCATGTTGTGCCTACTATTAGGAAGAAAGTGTTTTAAAAAAACATTATATTCACGTGATGTTTCAGGACACTTGTTACTCCCAGTTATACAAGAAAAACAAAATTTACTCAACACTAACGGGCTTTGATATTTCTGATCATATATCATATGACAGTTTATAATGGAAATAGCTATTATTTTTAAGGAAGTAATTGTGATTTTTGTATGTTAACAATACTACATGCATTAGAAATGTTATACAAGTAGTATTTATTTCATTTTTATACAGGAAGCTATATCTGCCCTAAATGATCTTCAAAGTAATGCAGCAGTTTTAGAAAAAGCTAGAAGAGAAAAGAGTAGTAATGCCCACAAAAATATCTTGGCTACTGCAAAATGGTTGGAAAAGTTAAACATATCTGTAAGTGGAATGGAATGTTGTTTTTTTTATTTGATATATGGGATAAAATATGTTTACAATATTTTTAAAACACCACTTTATAATTAATATCTTGTATAAAGATAATTTTAAGGAGAAAAATGGAAAATCATTAAGTCCACCAGGATCAATTTTTTTTCTACCAAAAAGCAATTGACCATACAAATTACAGACCTTCGCACCTGTATATCTACTCAACAAAAGTTTTAAACTAATAGTTAATGCACATTATTGGGCAAATCAATTCACAATTTTATGAATAACAGGAAATAATTTTGCTGAAGATCAAATCTAGAACTGTTCTTTGAAGATTGAAATATGTTACTTCTGTTATTAATTTTTTCATTCCAACAAACCTATATGTTGCCAAACTCTGGATGCTTATAAGCATGTGAATACAGGTGATGAAAAGTAAGACACCTCTCAATTCAAGGCAATTTTATCTCTCCAATAAGGTGTTAAATCTGTAGAACAAATTTCCACCTAAAGTGATAGAAATTGGAATTTTACAGGAGTTTTATATGAGAAACAGATTAGTGAATACTTATGGTTTTGGGGCTGGATTTAGTGATTAGTTTTCTGTTTTTCAGAAAAACTTTAAGTCAGAAGATTCTTTATATCACATAATGTATTTCTTTAAAAGAAAGTCCAAATTAATTAAGCCTTACTTTGTGGCTCAAATATCTTCGGTTTAAAGAATGATATATAGTCTATCTCTACTCATTATTTTTTCTTTAACATGTTAATATGTTTCTTATACTGATAGTAACAGAACAGTACACGGGAGTTCAATTAATGCTAAACTAGAGTATAACACAGTTGACATTTTTATCCATGAAATAAAAATTTCTTATAAATAGATCCAAGAACTGTTGTTTTCACCACATGTAAACACTTGGAAGATGGCTTAAAGGTTTTATTAAAACAACAACAACTGAAATTCATCTTCTTTTCCATAATATCAATACTCCTTTGATGTACAATGCAAGTCCTTTTGCAAATGTTCATATCTGAAAGATATAACTTAACACTTTTCAGTATTGAAACACATTGTCAAATTGTGGCTCAGTTACTAAGACTGCTAATGCTCTTTTAAATAATAGGAACATTTCCATAAAGAAACTAGTTTCTAGTATCGTCAGCAAAAAAAGACCCGGTAGTCACAAGCTTAAAAAAAATCCTCATTTAATACTGTTTTGCATTCTGTGACCAAGATACTTTTTTTTTTCCTATCTGCTTCCACTAATTCCATATTCCTTTACTGCCAAATGCTATCTTGTGTACAAACTTATCAAAGACTTTCTGAAAGTTGCGATATACAAGATCTCTAGGTTGGCCTCATTCAAAAAGTACAGAAAACTTCTTAACAAACATTATAAACTTAATACAACAGAAAAAAAAAAATACATTTTGATTGAATGATGATTTAGAAATGCTTGTATTCTCATTTGGAAGGAATTGCTGAAAAATAATGAAGCCACTAGGAGAGAAAGAGAGAGAGGCTTTCTTCAGAATGACTTTTCATTGACCACAAGACTGTAATGTATGATGTACTTAAGGCTTAGATTGATTGAATATAAAATAAGTGAGGTTTGCAATCTAAGCCATAAGGGCATGACAATGGATCATATCTCCAAGACTTGAGGCCAGTGCACGAGATTTGGCATGTCTGTCATTTTTAACTCCTCCAGGAAATGTAATTTGTCAAAGCCTTTATCATCTTAGATATCTGAATTATAACAACTATAATTTTTTTTACAAACTCCAGTGGAAATGGTTAAAGGCATTTAATTACATTCTTGTAGCTTAAAATTCAACAGCATAACACAAGCAACCCCTTTCTACATTCTTTCTAGAATACCTTTTGGTGTTATAAGAAGATTTAGCTGTTTTAATTGCAGAGTTTATCCCAATATTATAGAGATTTGAATAATACACGATAAAGATCATAAGATGGACCATTGCTGGGAAAAAGCTGCCAATCGTGACCATTCACTGAGATTTATTACAGAATGCATAGTAGTTTTCAACTTGCTTGATAATTATTCTCTCAACTTTTCTATAAGACCCTATCATAACACTGCTGGGTCATCTGTTAAAACTTAACACGAATAAGGATGGATGAATAGAGAAAAAGTAAGTTTAGGTATAGAGATATAAAATTATTTTTTTAAATTTCATTAATGAGATGAAGCAAATGGGTTTTGTTGAGGGATATTTGTCTTTTTTTTTCCATTTCACATTAATGATCAAATTAGTTGTTGTAAAAACTCTATATATTTCTATTTATTTACATTATATACTTTCAAAACTGGGCAATCTCCTTGCTTCAAAAAAATATCTAACATCATTGTAGACAATTATCTCTTTTACAGGCTTGAAATTATTATGTTTCTTTTTAAACTGCACTCAGTTCATTATGACTACAATAATGTATAGTTAACATCTGCAATCAGACTATACTACTCGCATCACCACAGAACAATTAAGTAGCACCTTAGCAATACTGCTAGAAAGCTTTTTTGCTTATGCTCGAAGTCGGTGTAACAGCTCTCATTCCTGTACGTAATAACTTGTACTACACTAATCTATGATGAAATCAATATTAGATTATACCCCTCTATCAGTAGAAGGGTGAAAAAAACCAAAAAAACCCTCTTTACACACTACTACTATTCATTGTGCATTTTGTTTAAACCAAAAATACGTTCTTTTCCTCAATATTGCACTGTTTGCACTGAAGAAAAATTTAACTTTTGCACTAATACTATTTTTAACTTTCAACTACAATTTCTCATGTAAATTTTATATATTTTTTCATTTCACTTTCTTGACTTCAATGAAAGAAAGATTAAAAAAAAAAGTTGCAACAGGAGTTATTTTCTACTGTTTGAATGATGGCTGCATTTACTCTGATGGCAAGTGATGTTACTACCATTTTGCATCATATGGTTGATTCTCTTAGACATTCTTTGTTTAAGACTTGTGGCCTCTTGCTTATGCAGCTTATGCTAAGCTTGGCACATCTTTGGACAAATTTGACCAACTTTTACTACTATCTGACTTCTGATTATTCTCTTCCAGATGAGGATCAGGTAACCCAACCTTCATTCTTCACTGCTCTCATAACTCTGATACATGAGATCCTTTCTCTTACTGCATATGTTTCTTCTGGCTCGTAGACAAGCTTGCTGTATGAGCTTCAGTCCTTGGACCTTCTCTTTCTCATCTCATCCGATATTCATTTTTGTGCTGATTCTTTTCTGTCCCAGTTTTGTGTCAAATCTAGGTTGTCATATTCTCCCCAAATACTGGGGATTTATGGACTATCATAGATATGCCACCCATGAATTAGTTTCTTGTTTTCCTCAAGTTCATGATGGGTGATTTGTTTTTTTTTTCTTCTCAGGCAATGAATTTTCAAGGCCACTGTTTCAGATGGTTTTCTCTACATTCATATCCATCTAGCTAAATTGCTTTTTTTTTCATCCACAGTAATAAGATTTTTCAGTTTAGGGTTCTTCCCTTCAGGTTAGTCATAACTGTATGTTCTTAACCAGGTCCTCGGGGCTTTTATATGAAGGGTGCACTCATTTAGTCTGCATTTCCAGTATTCTATAGATGATTGTTTCCTCCTTGCCCTAACCTGGGAAGTATTTTCTGCTATGACCTCCCTATCCATTTGGGTTGGCTGGTCAAGCTCACCAACTCACTATTGACCTCAACTTATTATCTGGTTTATTTGGTGTTCTTTATCAACTTTTTTTTTTGCTGAGGGGTCTAGCCTTCTCCTTTATGTCTCAGAAACAAAACTTCCTGTTACCAAAGCTCTCATTTCCTTCCCTGCCTGCATGAGAGGTTCTCTCTCTTTTAGATACTCTAGCTTTCCTCAAGTCCCTTATTTCTCTGGGATGGGCTTTCATGCATTACCTTCAGTGGAATCTTGCAGATCAATGGAATATGTCCAGAGATCCACTAACATCTCTCATTCCTCTCCCCTCATCTCTTCGCCTCTCACTGTCATGGTGGCTTGATCATTCCCAGAGATCCACTAACATCTCTCATTCCTCCTCCCCCATCTCTTCGCCTCTCACTGTCATGGTGGCTTGATCTATTTCCCAGAGATCCACTACATCTCTCATTCCTCTCCCCCATCTCTTCGTCTCTC